ATATATATATATATATATATATATATATATATATATATATATATATATATATATATATATATATATTCGTAGCGTATCGCACACCATAAAAGGGCTCCTTCGATGCAAGATCCGGTCTAAAAGTAGATTTACGTTGAAAGGAAACGTAAACCAGGCGGGTAGAGCGAAACCAACGCGGAGACTTGAGCGACACGCGCGCGAGCGAATGCAGGATGTCGCTGTATCGGTGACCCAAAAAATTCTTGAATCACTTAGGGTCTGCGCATAAGAACACGTTCGTAACACGTTAACTTAAGAATAAATTGATATCAGTGCACAGAGAAATCAGTTATGAAAGTCCTTACGAATCTTGTTCTTGTGCGGAGACCCATAGGCCTCGATTTCCTATCACGCGAGTGTGCAAACGGTGAGAGGAAAACATTACTCACTCGAAATATAGGTCATTCTGAATTATGTGGACGATCCATCTGCGATGCAGTGACGATGATGCACGATCGATACGCTGACCTGCAACGAAAAAATATCGAGATGATATACACAGAAAAATACTCTGCTACTAAAGAAGCATTTACTCTATTTATTTTCCTTCTTTTACGTAATCTTTACGCTTATCTCTAAACCAAGAATATTTTCTTGATAATAGTCTTAAAATATATCCATTATCAATTTTAGAAAAGCTTATTATCTCCATGTACTCCAAAAAAGAATTTCTTCCTTTTTATTCTCTTTATAATAGTAAAGCATACTTTCGTTTTACACACTGAATGAAAAATATATTTTGGATTTTAGATAGTAAGCTAAGTATTTCTCAATCAAGAATATTGAATATTGAAAGAATATTGAGACAAAAATTATTTAATTAATTATATTATAATTATAATAATTCACTAAATATAATTATATTTAGTGAATTAATTTAAGTTTATTAAATTTAATTTAATTATTTATTAAAGTTAATTTAAGTTATTATTTATTAAAGTTAATTTAATTTAAGTTTAGTTAATTATTATAATTATAATATAATTAATTAAATAATTTTTATTTCAATATTCTTTCAATATTCAATATTCTTGATTGAGAAGTACTTAGCTTACTATCTAAAATCCAAATATATTTTGAATAAATTTGACGCTTATGATGAATATATGATAGATTTGCGGATATCTATATTTATAAAGTACTTAAGACAAGTAACATTTATTTGAATACAATATGCATCTTTCTAGGACAGCGTGAACTCGGTAATATATTATTAGAACGTGTCACTAATACGTCGTACGGTGTTTCATTTTGCGGAGCCAGCAGATTTCTCGGACGATTGCCTCGTAATTGGTGAAAACGGTGCGCGCACGTTCGCTCCAGCATGTATCAGCAGAGAAGGAACGGGCTAAATTGGATCGCATTACGTAAGTCCGCGGGATTAAAGAACCGCGGGACAAATCCGTGCGTTAGCTTTACGACCAGCCCCGACTAAAACCGCGTTCGTAATGGCGCGACGCATGCCCGACATTTTCCGCGTCGCGAATCGCCGTCGCGGGACATCCTTTTACCGCCGAAGATATTCGTGGGATATTCTCGGAATATCTCTCATCGATTCTTTGTCTTCGATTCACCAGTGGAAAACGACGCGAGCGCGATATGCACGATCAACCTTTTGTATGCGTCTCAATAACGTTTATGATAATTACCGAATTCTCGCCAGTGTACAGTCCTGCCTCTTCCGAGCGTCATTCTTTCGAACAAAGACTCGTTCCTCCGCTCGGTTGTTCTCGGGAGGCAGGCGAGAAAAGAAAAGAAGAGGATGCGCATCCCGCCCGACTGCATAGCACGCTGCATCCTGGCTGACCTTGTCTGGGTGTTCACCCGGCGTCGGCCCATCCGTCCGGATCGGCCTGCGATGCTTCGCCGCCGCTGACTTCGAGGCCGAGGCAGTGGCGATCTGCTTGCTTATGTAATACGAAGCGGGTCACGGCCAGGCAGCCGAAAAACCCACCGCAGCCGCGCGCGGTCGTCGTTGCCTTTCTCCGTCACCCCGCCTATATCGAGAATCGACTCGTCAAAGAACGCACACGAAATCATTACGCCTGATCCTGGGAGTTCGTTAGGACTCTCAATAATTAACAATGGTCATACCCGCACAGCCTCGCTGCTTCCATCGCATCGACCAGATGATTTCTCTAATCAGAAAAGAACACCATCGACGAACAGTTAACCTCGGAACGTAGGAGCGCGCGTAAAACATTGCTTCCTCCATGGCGCTTTGCAGAAAGAACGAAATTAAACATGGATGCACGTGTCTCGATCGCATTTGAGATGGATAGTACACGCGATAGGTCGATAAACGAAAGTGCCGATATTAATCGATTGATACTCATGGCGTCATATCGGTTATTCCAACGACAGTTCTCGACAATCGCAATGCACAAGTACGAACGGTGGACGGACGCCGGCTAGCTGGAACGAATTTCGTGTAATTGCAGAAGTTCCCGAGTAAACGGGATTCTTGTACCCAAGAAACGAGGTACGTCGACATGACAACTATTCAATACATTCACCCGGGCAAAAGAATGTAGAGGTAGAAGCAACGTGTAAAGTAGCACGAGCCGGCCCGTAGAGATTAACTTTTTTCTTTCTCGAGACTAATAGTCTGTAAACAAAGGTCGAGTTTTTTAATTCATCGATGAATCCATCGATAAATTAAAAAACTCACCCAAAGATGTTATTACTTACCAATAGATATTCATGGCGTCGTATTCACGATGCGTAGACGTCGAACTCTAGCGAATGTACCTCGGGACGAACGCGGCCAATCTAGGGCAATCTAGGGCAAGTACCTAGAAGTAGGCTCCGTGTATTTGCGAGCTTGTAGCTCTCGAATAAATTGATGTCCTTTGTACTCAAGAAACGAGGTATGTCGATACGAAAACTATTCCATATATTCGCCTGAGCGAAAGAGACAGAAGCGTAAAGTGGGTCGTATCGGAGCGACACTTGCAGTAATTAACTCTTCTACGAGACGGACAACATGTACGGTCGATAAGGGAGGGTATCATCGTTTATCGATAGATTTTTATGGCGTCTACTCAAGTGCGAAAAGTTACTCCCGTATAGCGCGGCGAGCAATTTTGACGGATGCACTTGGAGACAGATGGAGGCAGACGCGGACAAGTTAGGACAAGCTTCGTGTAATTGTGGATCTACAGCAGCTTCTGGGTGAATGGACGGCCTTTGTACTCAAGGAACAAGGTACGTCGATACGAAAACTAATATATTCGCCCGGGCGACAGGATGTAGAGATACAAGCCGTCATGTAAGGTAGATCGCGTCAGAGTCCGCGCGACACCCATAGAGGTTAACTTTCCTCCTTTTCTGAGACTGACAACATGTATGGTTGATAAGGAAAAATATCGTTATTCATCGATAAATATCTATGCGTAAACTTGAAGCACGAAAGGATGCACTTTGAAACGAGCTAGGACAAGCTCAATATAATTGCGAGTCTGCCGTATTTTTTAGGTAAATAGATGGATTCTTGCTCAGGAAACAAGATATGTCAACACGAAAACTATTCAATATATTCGCCCGAGCGTAAGAATGCAAAGATGAAAGCATTTTGTAACGTGGATCACGTCAGTGTCGATGTGACACTCGTAGAGGTTAACTTTTTTACGAGACGGACAACACGTCTGGTCGATAAGGGAGGACATTATTTATCGATAGATTTTCACGGCGTCATATTCAAGCGCGTAGAGTTGGCTCCATCTTGAACGAATGCACTTTGGAATAGACGCAGATAAGTCAGGATGAGCTCCGTGTAATTGCGAGTTTGCAGAAGTTTCTGGACGAATAGATGGCTTTTTTCATTCAAGAAACGAGGTATGTCGATACGAAAACTATTTCATGTATTCATCCGAACGAGAGAATGTAAAGATAAAAATATCTTGTAACGTAGATCGCGTCGAAGTCGGCGCGACGGTCGTAGAGGTTAATTTTTCTCTTCGATATGGACAGTACATATAATCTATTAATGAAAATATCAATATTTATCGAAAAGTATTCACGTCTAGACTTCGAGCTCGAACGGATGCACTTCGGAACAGACGCGGATGAGTTAAGACGAGCTTCATGTAATTGGGAGTCTGCAAAATCCCCGAATAAATCGATGACCTTTTTTTACTCAAGAAACAAAATATGTCGACACGAGAATTATTCAATAATATTCGCCCGGGCGAAACAATATAGAGAATGTAGGTTAATTTTTTCCCTTCAATATGTATAGTCTATAAACCAAATTCGTAGATATCCATGAAGTCATATTCAAGCACGAAAAATTACTCGTAACGCAATAAGAAAGAAACTGGAGTTTAAATAGACGTTCTTCGAAATAGACGCGGACGAGCTGTGGCAAACTCCATGCAATTGCGAGCCAGCAACATTTCGGATAAATGGATGGCCTTTATATTTAAGAAACAATGTACATAGACGAAAACTATTTAATATATTCGAAAGAACTAGAAGATAGAAGCGCCATGTAAAATAGATCGCGTCGGAGTTGGCCCGGAATTGAGACGGTTCGTAGAAGTTAACACGTACAAAAGAAATCGTTTTTATTTAATGTCGTTACGTCGACTTATTCGCGAGTTATAGCCGTTCAAAGTCGCGCTGTCAACTCTTCCGGTTCAGGCTCGAGATTCATTCACGCACTTGCTCTCGCGCCGGCTAAAAGTGAAGTGAACGACCGCGCCTGCGGTGAGTACTTGGGGGGGGGGGACGCGGCA